AAGTAGCTGAAACATAAACTGAAAACTGTAAGCACAAAGCTTAGTGAGTTCCCCAACATACCACATACCATACATACATAACATATAACGGGCCCCGCCCAATGAGTGTATCGGGCACCGCCCACACTCGCATAATGGGCCTCGCCAATGAGTGTATCGGGCACCGCCCACACTCGCATAATGGGCCTCGCCCATTGAGTATAATGGGTCCCACCCAAACTCACATAACTGGCCCCACCAATGAGTATAATGGGCCCCACCCACGTATAATTTATATAGGCATAACAGGTAATAGCATACAAAATAACCATCGGGCCCCGCCCAGTAAGCATATAAGCACATACACATACAAGTGTCACACAGACAACGAGTATTCTAACATAACAGATAATGGGCCGGCATTTGTGCCTTCGACCCACTAAACATGGTGAGGAAACTCACCTCGAACTGCTGAATCACACGAATAAATCTCTGGTTGCTGGTCCGACAAATCCCCGAGCTATCAATATCATATAACATCTAATTAATAATTGGATTCCAATCCATAACCATCAGTTCATAATTAGGGTAAAAAGACCATTTTATCCCTTACCTAGTTTGGTCCAAGACTAAGGCCCAAACCTACAATCCAAAAGGCCCAATTACCAAAATAATCTTATAAGGCCCAAACATGGCCCAATTTTCCAAATTGGCCCCAAATCCCTTCCATGGGCCTTAATCCAAGGTCCACAAATATACCCAGCCCAAAACAATAGAATTCAGATGGCCCAACAAAGCCCTAAACATTTAAGCCCAAAAGAATGGCCCAAACCGAAGATCCAAGTTTCAAAGTCCAACGGGCTGAGTACGCGGGGCGTACTCAGCACGTACGCGCAGCATACTCGCTTTAGGGCTTGTACGCTAAGCGTACCTTCTTGTACGCCTAACGTACTCCCCCATTTAGCCAACTTTCATTTCCAGCTCTTAATCCCTAAAGACTTTACTCCAAAACTTAGACCTAACTTCCTTGGGTTGATTTATCACGTAAAGTTGCTAACTTTACATGCATTCATGGCTTAATGAAGATCTTAAAGCTCAAAAGGACTTAATAGATGACTTAATGCATGCGTGAGACCATAAACCCCATAAAGTTTGCACCTTTAAGCATAATGAACCCTCCAAACACCCAGATCTACAAGATTCAGGTTCTAAAACGGCCTTAACCCATCAAGACCAACCAAAAGGGGACAAAGAAGCATAAAACCATAACATGAAGAGATCTAAGCAAGGAGAAGACAAAGTATGAACTTGATACCTCAAAAGACTTGCAAAATGAGTGATGATTCTAGATCTCTAAGCTTCACACTAAGCAATGCACCTTCAATCTTCTTCAATCCCTTCAAAATAAGCAAAATAAGCACCAACTTCTTCTCAAAAGCTCAAGGACACAACACTGGAGGCTAAAGGTCGAGATTTAGGGTTTAGGAGGTATGGAGGCTGGTAAAGAGGCCAACCCTAGGGACTTAAGGAGTTTATATAGGGTGCAACACCCTAAAATTAGGGTATCATTAACCCCTACTACGCCCATCGTAATCCTCGTACGCCCAACATACAAGGCCTCGGTCCTGCGATTCATCCAACTTAGTACGCTAAGCGTAGTATGTGGTACGCCCCGCGTACTGGATTTTCAGCGAGTACGCTAAGTGTACCCAATGGTACGCCCCATGTACTACTCCAAGGACCAAAAAGCAATAAATAAATACAAATGAGCTAAAAGGAACATACCCAAATCCAAGTGTTACAATCGAGATAACTTTTGTTCTCAATATGGCTATGTATTTCCTACTGAATGGTGGAGAGGTAACTTGTAATAGTTCTAAGCAGAAAACGATGGATGATTCTACTTGTGTGTTAAAGTACATCGCAGAAAGCGAGGCAACAAAGGAAGCGACATGACTGAAGAATTTCATTGGTGATCTCGGAGTTATTCCATCAATCGAAGAGCCCATAGAAATTTTATGCGACAATGAAGGTGTGGTTGCTTTAACTAAAGAACCAAAGGATCTGGGGAGATCAAGGAACATTCTGAGAAAATACCATTATGTTCGACACAGAGTATAAGATGGCGACCTTGTGGTGAATCGAGTATCATCAGAGGATATTCCTGCAAATCCTTTTACAAAGGGATTGAGCAAGGTGAAGCACTTCGTGCATGCTAGGAGCATTGGGTTAAGAGATGATGTTAGTTTTATTAGTTAGTTGATAGTTTGAAACAATGTAGCAAAATAAATTGTAATTGTTTTTCATAATTAAATAATGAAGATATATTTATGAGTATGTTAACTACCTTCTTCAATTATTTATTATTGTGTTTCATTTTTGCATGTTTACTTCCTGGGTATTTATTTATCCGAAACGCCACATTCAAGTATGATTCAAGCCTGCCATGGAGTTTTAGTATATTGTTCATAGTGATTTGACATAACATAGAGATTGTTGATATACTCATGAGTGCTTAAAATAAGGATTTCCAGTATTGGTTAAACTCGCGCTTAGAGATTACTTCATGGATTCTATCACGAGTAATTATAAGACGATAATATCTTCTATTCTTCAAGCAAAGATACGTAGGTTATAGTTTACGAGTTTGTTGCCCATTGGTATTATATTAACGCACATGTAACTGGATGTTATAAAATGTAGTTCCATGCATGACATGATGAGCAAAGGTTATAATTGTAGTCAAAGTTTATTCATTCATTTTTCCTATTAAAAAAACGATATCTTTGGGGCTCTCGGTGGTTTGATGTTGACATTATAATGTTGGGCCCATCCTAGACTAAATTGATGTGTTCAATTCGTAGTCTAATAAGGTCATCATAAATTAGAAATCAAGAAACATAATATTGGACTATCAGATTGATTTGTATACCTGTCTCGTGTGCATACGACATCTTGTAGAACGAAAGAATAGTTGATCATTTATCTTAGGGCCAATGTCTGATATGATTCAGTGTTTAGGCAGTGGCTTTGGAAAACACACTTTGCTGTTTATTCAAGGTCCATATTTGCAATTGTAGTTGTTGACTTATCCAAGTGGGAGACTGTTGGATGAGGTGTCTAAGGTCATAACTAAATCGGTATAATCTTATGGAATAAAATCAAAGTCATTTTTGGGTTGCCCTCAATAACTAGAAATAGCTAGGAACATATTTAGAGGAGTAAGAAAATAATTTGTTAATTTATTATATGATTAATAAATTAATTAGAAATGGTTAATAATTAATTTAGAATTAACCAAAATTAATTGGAAATTATTTTTGGATTAATTAGAGTTAATTAAAGGTCTAGGGTTGAATTATAATTGTTTAATTTTTAAATAAGGAAGGCATTCTAGAACCCTCCTTATGGTGGACGGTTTTGGGAGAGGTCCAGAAGGGTTCTGGAAGCCTCTTTTAGTTGATAAGGAGACTGATTTGAATAGACTTAAAATATTATTATTTTATTATTCAAATTAGGATTCCTAAAACTAGAAATAGGACCCTTATGCAAGACATTTTCATCCCTAGCCTTTCAAGAGCAAGAATCGAAAATTCCCTCTACTCTCTCTCTCTCTCTCTCTCTCTCTCTCTCCTCTAAATCATTCCTTAGGGTTTCTAGGGTATTGGGTGTGAGCCATTAGAAGCATCCACATTATTAATGCTTTTTTTCCACAGAACTCTTGAGGATTGAAGCTTAACTATATTTGATTATACTCAAAGGTATGTACACAAACCTTTTGTGATTTTCGATTTACATAGGTTAAGTTCATAGTTTTCATAGTGTGTTGCTATTATAAGAAAAGCCATAGATTTCTAAGTTGCATGTGCCCATAAAATAGTTTTATGATTCCGTTGTGCAAATTTTGTTGTTTTAACTTTTAATGTAACCTAGAAAACTCATCAATTTCATATACATAAATAACATGTTCCAATTTTATTGACTCGTCATCTTAACCGTATGAAAACACACGTAATCGGAAGGCGTGCCAGGAATCCGAGGCTACAAAATATTCATCAAACTGGAAGTCGGTGACAAGGCATAATTCCCTCTTCCCAAAGGCCAACTCTTACTCCTTGATCTTAAAACCATTTCCTCTAAATGGCTTCGAGGGTGTGTGACAACTTATTTGCAGAATATGTAATGTAAAAGAAAATGATCATCTTCTACCTCGATATTAATATCTAACCACCTACCAATTTTGCAAAGACATTGAAAGAGAAACATTACAAATGTGGTCATGTTGCAAAAAACAAAAACAAATTACTTTCAATATGACACTGAAGATAATTATGGACCGGTCATGGTGCTCCAAAACGTATGGTTCTAAACATTTCGGACTAGTTCGCTGTATTCCGGACGTGATCGTCGTATTCTAGACTTTTTTCAGAGATGATTTTTGTGTTCCGAAATACGAAAATCAATTTGGGGTTACCTAATGCACATGCTATTGTAAACGTAACTACTTTTCTAATCGTTTGGGTCTTTACTAATACTAAAAAACTACATACCTCAGGTACATGTTATCAATTAATACAACATTCCAGAACTGTTCTTGGAATATTCTTCGCATTCCGAACTCTAGTTTTCACGGTTATAATTACAAAATTTAACAAGTACAAGTAAAGGAGTGAAAAACTTGCACGTAATGACGTAAAACTTCTAACTCATTGGAATCAATCAGATGTCATTTCCTCTTTGCCATTAAATCTGAAATATTAAGATATTCTTATATGCATTCCGAAATGTCTTATATACTACCATTTTCTCCGAAACCCGATACCGAATGGGCCGGACGGAATAACTTTAATCCACGATGATCCATTTCAAAATAAATGATTATTTTTCAAAAGACAGTTATTTTATTCAAAATACCTACTCATTTGTTTAGATTACTCAATTTCCCTATAATAGATTTACAGTTTTTTTTCAAAAAAAAATAAAATAAACATAACATATGGCTGGCTAATTACAAAGTGTCATCTACCTAAAGTTGGCTCCTTGGTCTCGCTTCTTCCCTAACAGGAACCTCTGCTTCCAAATCGAGAGAACCAAAGTCCACTGCTCTCTCACACTGATCAGCCAATTTTGATTCAACAGGATGACGGAGTTCTTGGATTTGGAAACCCAAGACGCCGTGCGGATGCCATGGAATGTTCTCCCCGGCACCAAACAAGAAGCCGCTCAATGCGTCATCCCAATTTCCGCCATCTACACTCCGATCAAACCCTTACCCAACACCAGCCCTCTCCTCCCTTACTCCCCCCCTCCGCTGCCGCAATTGCCGATCCGTACTCAACCCTTTTTCTATCGTCGACTTCTCCACCAAAATCTGGATCTGTTCCTTCTGCCTCCACCGCAATCACTTTCCTCACCACTACCAATCCATCTCCGATGATAACCTCCCCGCGGAGCTCTTCCCTCAGTACACCACCATCGAATACGAACCCCAGAACGAGAGACCCGCTTCCCAAGCTATTCCTCAGGTGTTTTTCTTCGTGGTGGATACTTGTATGATCGAAGAGGAAATCGGGTTTCTAAGATCAGGGCTTTCGAGGGTGATTGGGGAGATTCCGGAGAATTCTCTTGTCGGTTTGATTACTTTCGGGAGGTATGTTTGTGTTCATGAGTTGGGGTTTTTCGGAAGAGTTCCCAAGGTTTATGTGTTTAATGGGGCCAAAGAGATTACTAAAGATCAGGTTTTGGAGCAGATGGGTTTCTTTCTAAAGAAACCGAGACCAGCTACAGGAGTTGTTGCCGGAGTTAGAGATGGACTTTCTCAAGAAAGCATTTCCAGATTCTTACTGCCAGCTGCAGATTGCGAATTTGCCCTAAATTCGGTATCATCTCCATACTCCTTTATGTAAAATTCATGTTCAGTCGTTAATCTTTGTATACTTCTATAACTTGATATCATATCAGGTATTAGATGAGCTTCAAAAAGATCCATGGCCAGTTCCTGCAGATCAAAGAGCACCAAGGTCCACTGGCACTGCTTTAACCATAGCTGCTCATTTGTTGGGAGTATGTGTTCCTGGTTCAGGGGCTAGAATAATGGCATTTTTGGGTGGGCCCACAACTGAAGGGCCAGGTTCTGTGAGTATATTCTAGTCACAGACTCTTACTAATTGTGTTACTCATTATTGTATATATATGTTCAAGATTGTATCAACTATCAAAAGCCTTGTATTCTAAAATCTTTTGCATTATCTTTCAGATTGTATCAAAAGCCTTGTCTGAACCTATTCGTTCTCACAAGGATCTAGATAAAGATGCTGCTCCTTTTTTTAACAAAGCAGTCAAGTTATATGAAGGACTTGCAAAGCAACTTATACATCAAGGACATGTTCTTGATGTTTTTGCTTGTGCTCTTGATCAGGTAATCTTTCCTTAAAATCTTGTCACTTTCATTACATATGGATTCAATACTTAGCTAAGTTGACCTGACAGTCTATTCTTCTAGGTTGGGGTAGCTGAGCTTAAAATTGCAGTTGAAAAAACTGGAGGACTTGTTGTGTTAGCAGAAAGCTTTGGTCATTCAGTTTTTAAAGATTCTTTATTGCGTGTTTTCCAATCTGGTGACACTGACTTGGGTTTATCATCAAAGTAAGGTTTGATTTAATCTCTTCAATCCTTAACACATTGATATGTCATATCTTAATGTTGACTCAATCAGTTCTTGTTTTTGTTTGTAAATTGTAAATTGTAAATTGTAATGAACTTCTCACTTTCTGCAGTGGTATATTTGAAGTAAACTTTTCAAAGGATATCAAAATCCAGGGTATTCTTGGTCCATGTGCATCACTTGAGAAGGTTCATATAGTGTTTTAAAGAATGTTGACTTTTGGTTGACTTTTTGTTGACTGATTGTTGTTTTTTGTGCAGAAAGGTGCTTTATGTTCTGATACTAGTATTGGTCAAGGGGGTACAACTGCATGGAAGATGTGTGGACTTGACAAATCGACTTCCTTATGCTTAATATTTGATATTGTGAAAAAAGAAAGCTCAGATGTTATTGGTCAAGCTGCAAATAATCAGTTTTATTTCCAATTTTTGACTTATTATCAGCATAGCAATGGACAAATGAGGCTTAGAGCCACCACTCTTTCAAGAAGATGGGTCACAGGTCCAGGAAATATACAGGCATGATTATTCATCTATCCTATAAGTTACTTTAATTCTTAATTTATTATTATTATTGATTAAGAAAAGTCAAAATTGGTTTTTGCATTTGTAGGATTTGGTTGCTGGGTTTGACCAAGAAGCAGCTGCAGTAGTCATGGGACGCCTAGTTTCTTTCAAAATGGAAACAGAGGTAACAATCTTTATATATATACATTATTCATCTGCACCTTAATTGATTTAACTTTTTTTTTTTTTTTTTTTTGTGTTGACCATATATAGGCTGAGTTTGACCCCATAAGGTGGCTGGATAAAACACTGATACATTTATGTTCACGTTTTGGTGACTATCAAAAAGACAACCCATCCTCTTTTGTCCTATCTCCTCGATTATCAATCATTCCTCAATTTGTCTTCAATTTGAGAAGATCTCAATTTGTACAGGTGTCACTTTCTTTCTTCATTTACTTTTCAGGAACATTATTATTTTTTTTTTTTGAAAATTAAGGTTTTTTAGTTTTTATACAGGTTTTCAACAACAGCCCAGATGAGACAGCGTATTTTAGAATGGTTATGAACAGAGAAAATGTTGCAAATTCAGTTGTGATGATTCAGCCTTCTTTAATTTCTTATGCTTTTAATTCTGGAGCTGAACCTGCTTTATTAGATGTGGCTTCAATTGCTGCTGATAGAATCCTTCTTTTGGATTCATATTTCACTGTTGTTGTCTTTCATGGATCCACCATTGCTCAATGGCGTAAAGCTGGCTACCAAAATGAACCTGAACACAAGGTACTCTTCTTTTTTCTTTTTTCTTTTTTTACCAAAAGGGTATAAAAGTCATTGTTTGTATAATTGTAATTGCAGGTTTTTGCTCAGTTGTTGCAAGCTCCACTCGATGATGCTGATGCTATTGTAAAGGAAAGATTTCCAGTACCCCGTTTAGTGATTTGTGATCAGCATGGATCTCAGGTTACATAATCTCTCAACTAATTTATTATTATGAAATCTGTAAAACTTGTTTTTTTTTTTATATAATTGGGAATTAATTTTATGCAGGCTCGTTTTCTATTAGCAAAACTAAATCCATCAGCTACATATAATTCGGAAGCTCCTCCTACTCCTGGTGGAGATGTTCTGTTTACAGATGATGTCAGCTTTGAAATCTTTTTAGATCATCTTCAACGATTAGCAGTTCAATAAATTTACTTTTCTTCAACAATATACACATAGTTTTCGCCAATTTTGTAAGATTTTTTCATCTGCTCTTTGTTACATTCACTATTGTTAAATGATAACATGTTTGTCATGTATATTATTATTATCATTTTTGGTGTGGTTGTAGTTTTTGGAACTATTCATCTCTGGATTATAAAGGAGGGAAAATCAGTGATACAGGTTAGAAAGTGATGATTGTAGTTATTATGTAGAAATTAGAATGTGGTTTTGTTTCTTGTTGTAAAGGGTTAAAAGAACCCAAAACTAGCTTTTATTCTAGCTTCTCACCCATTGTTTAAAAAATAGAATCTGGTTTTGTTTTGGTATACGTGTTTGTTTGTTAAAAAAAAACAAAAAAACAAAAACAAAAATAAGATTATTCATCTTGATTTAATTCTTTTTTGGGTTATGGTCACTATTTAGCAACTTACGACATCCAATTTACATTTTAGAACAGTAATCGTTTAATTATACTTTATGAGTTATTAAACAACTTTTTGTTTCGTTAGGGTTTTCGATGATAATGAAGAAAAAATTTTGATTTGTTTTCTTCATCAATGTTGAAGATGATAGATTGGGAGAAAGGATTTGTAAAAGAGAATTATAAAATTAAGTAAATGGTTTATATGGTTATGGTAAGAGAGGAATGGGGTTGTTGGGTGGTGGGGCTAGCTTTATTTATTTTGTTTTAATTAAAAACTAGTAAGTTACTACTACCGGGGGGATTGAACTTGGATAACGATAAAAGTGTAGGGACTAAACCTGCAAATATTTATAAGTCATGTAGCGAAAGTGTAGGAATGAAACATGACAAAATATTGTGGGGGCGAGAGGGAGCGGGGTGTGGGTAATTTTTTGTAATTTATTTTGTGGATAATTTTTTTAAATACATGGACCGTTTTAAAAAAAAAAAAAAAAAAAAACTGCACAATGACCTTTTCATAATTAATATGATATTTTTTGTAATTTATTTTCTACAGGTCAAAAATGCCAAACATACAAAAATCTTAAATATATGACCTGTTTTTGTAAAATAGAAACTTTACATTAACATTTTCTATAAATTACAAAATTATAGAGATTAAATCTATCAAAATCGAAAACTTTTTGGGCAAAACTTCGAACTAATAAAAAAAAGAAAAAAAGAAAAAAAACGTTATTGATATTAAGGACTTCAGTTTTAATTCATGATGTAGAGATGATCTACTAAACAAAAGAACATATGGTGTCTTTTTACAAGGCATCCTTTTTTATATCCATTTTGAATTTGGCCCGTTATATGGGTCCTATCGACTCAAAAGCATTGATCTAGACGAATGGGTTTGTTACTTAGTCCAGCAAAGTGTCCAATTTGGTCAAAATATTAGGTTAATTTTAGACTTTTAGTGTTTTTTTGGGTCAAGTAGTTTTGAGATGTTGGCGTTAATTTAGCCTGATAAAAATAACCACACCTCTTAATAATCTGCCAAATAATAACAAAAATGTAACCAAGTTTCTAAATATAACAACACATTTCGCATGGGTCCACTTCAAAATGTAGTGGCCACTATGAAATGTTATAAACGATAATGTTTATCCCAATAAACCACTCAAAATGAAGTACTGCTAAATGAAAATTTATATTGAGAATACGAATTCTTAGGTTGAAAGAAATTTACAAAAAAACTTGGTGCAAAAGTGGAAAAAAATCTCTTAAATATAGAGGACCATTTCATAGTGAATAATGCTTTTAGTGAATCCGCTAAAAAAATGTATGGCAATTGTAGGAATTTGTGAAATTTTAATTCCTGGAAAATGATTAAATAAGTTAATTATTTGAGTCATTTGATCTTTAGTCAAGTACTTAGAGTTAATTTGTGAAGATTTATGTATTCTAATTAGATAAAACCTTTAGATTTTACAGTATACCCTAAATCAGATGATTCCTATATTAATTGAGTCGTATTTCCGGTTTTCTATCATAACTCGAATTGATAGATAGGTGGTTGGTTGAAAAGCTTATGCGCAGAGTGTGTAAGCTGTTTTTCACATTTGTTCTGTTTTCTCTAGTTCATTTTGCATCAAATTTAAAGAAATAGTAGTTTTGAATGAAATAACAAAATGAACAATACAAAATTAAAAAGGTATTGGAGAAACCAAACAAACATTTTCATGTAATATAAAATTAACAAATCAAACCCCAATGGTTGCCTTTAGGCATGCAATTTCCAAAAGTCTAATTCCAAATACCAGAATTACCCCTGCTTTTATTCTAGTTAATTGATTTGTGGTAAGTTACTCATGTAGTTAAGTGTCAATTTCAAATCCCAATTTCTCTCCTCTCTACCCCCTCTTCATGTCTTCCCCCAATAGTTAGTATCAAAGCAAACAAGCATAAGCCCATGTGGTCTACCATAAATCTGCAAAATAAAATTAAAAAAAAATTACCATTATATTATTTAAAACAAAACTATTTAAAGAGTTATATGTAATGTAATGAACACAATTTGAAAGAGTGTTTTATAAAAGTAGATAAACTTGTATGCCCAAATGTAGAAACACAATGGAAAAGTGTCTTTGAGGAATTGGCTTTTTCTGTTGGGTGGATTGTACTTTCTGCAGAAATAGTTGTACCTTGTGTTAGTAGCTAGAAGTGACTGGGATAGTTGCATATTGTTTGTCCACCACCTCAATTAGCTTATTGGCTATAGCACTTGCATAAACAGAGGACCCTTCACAAATCTGCACATGTCATTCAAAATCAAGAAACTTTCCATGAATCCACCAAATAATTTGTTATTTGGAGAAATACCCAGAAAAATTGAATAAATGGGTTGTAATGTACAACTCAACATTGCATACGATGGCTTAAAGAAGTTGTACCTTGGTATTGAACAGATAGCTGTAGAAATCACCAATGAGTCCACCAGCGACATGATGAAGATCCAGTTGAAGTTCATGAAGAACTTTTGAAACAAGAAACAAACAGTTGATCCTCTTTTGCTGCACCAATTTGATTGTAACTTCATCATCAATGATTCGAACATCGATCTCTGTGTTTTTGGATTTTCTCTGTAGCCATGAGCTCCTCATTGTAGAAGTTGAATTGCCGTTGTAGGTTTGTTGATCATGAGCATGATCACCGGCGCCGGCGCCGGCGCCGGCGCTGCCACCACCATTGCTCTTTGTGTAAATACTCTCTACATCTAAAGTCGAATCGTCTTCTGTTTTGTGCTTTTTCATCCTACCTCTGTTGCATCTCTTCCTCTCCACCAAAATCTTCAGTTCTTCCACAGTTCTCTTGAGTTCGTTGATGTATTCAATGGCATCTCCGACCACCGATGCTCGATCAGCCTTTTCTTCAACAAGAAAACAGAATTAAAATATGTAAATGTTATCAAATTCGTCTCAGACTCAAAATTCTCATACCTTTGTGGGATTTGGGACTAATCCCTTCAACGCTTCAAACTTGCCATTCAATTGTTGCCTTCTATGTTTCTCAGTCGCAAAATGTTTTGTATCTTTGTTTTCTCTCCCTTTTCCATTAATTATCCCCCCACCAAACTCCAAAACCGCATCTCCGTCATGATACAGTTGATTCTGTTCTCCTCTGTCCATTTCCATCTCGCCAAAAATGGAGCCACAACCAGTCAAATTGAACCCGTTTGGGAGAGAATTCAGCAACTCTCTGAAGAATGGAGGCTGTGGAGGGAGATTGTGAGGCAATAGCGGATCGAACATGACTTGACCCGAGGTTTGATCGATATGGGTCGGGTTGGAAAAGCATATTGATGAAGAGCATCTGGGTAACTGGAAGAGATTGAGGAGATCTGGTGGTGTTGGTGTAGGCAAACAATTGTTATCGTTCCCGATAAGAATCTGATCATGAGGATTATGAGCCCAGTTGATTTGTTGGTGGTTTTGGTGATCCATGTCCATGTTCATGAGATGTTGGTGATGAAGCTGATCTGCAGGTGCTTCAATGGCGGAGAAATTGGAAATTTGGTGGAAGTTGGAGACATGGGGTTGTGGGAAACTGTCACATTGGTGATCAATAAGCACTTGTTGATGGTGAGCTACAGAATTTGGATCGAAGCAACCACTTGCTTCAAACATATCTGAATTCTCCAGCATTTTCTCTGCAAGTTCTAGAGAGAGAAGGAATTTGGAAAACTTCTAAGCTTTGTGTGTTCGAAAAGAGTGAAAACTTGAAGTATTGATCGTAACAACACGAAGATGAACTCACAATCTGGCGATAGAATGAGAATTTGAGGAGACACAGAAGCAGATATCACCAAGTAACCAAAAAGGAATTGCTATTTAGAGAGGGAGGAAGGTAGGTTGAGAGTAGGGGACTGGAAGTGAAGATATAAACGTACTTATATTAGTAAACTTTGCCACAAAATGACTCCAATTTCATGTTAAAATACAAATTATCAACTTTCACAAAATTATTTGTTTGACATATACTATTATAATAAAAAAATCAAATTCATTGTATCTTTTTAAAATACTTTTAACAAAATTCAGTAAACTTTTTGGAAACATACAAATATTTTCATCAGCTATCATTTCTTTTTGTTGAGTAGCGGCTAGGAAGAAATATCAATCCCCATCGATATCTTAACCTAATGGTTGAGGAACAAATATACAAATTAGATTATGCTCTTACTAATTAACTAAAAACATTTTGAATATGTTTGGCCAAAATAATTTAGTTGAAAGTTATAATTTTTATTTGTTGAACAAATGGTTCACAAAAATACTAATTTTAATGGACAAAATACCATTATAATAATATATTTTGTGAACACAAAAGTTTTCTATATTCTTATAATATATATTTTTAAATAATTACTATGTTTTATGCAAAAAAAAATATTTATATATAAAATTAACCTTTTATGTTATTTATTAGGAGTAAGATAACGGGTGTATGTATTAGCCATTATAAAAAAATCTAATAATATAAGTTTTAATCATATATTTATATAATTATATATGTTATTTATAAAACCCACCAATTAAACCCTATTAAAAATTTCCTTTCATCCATTATCGAAACTATTCATTTGATCACTTTTAAGTTTTAAATCATCAATATTTGGTAAATAACAAAACAATTTACAACACCATTGCCCTAGTTGAAGTTTAGATGACGGATTAAGTTGTTAAAAGCGATCCAAATATATCAAAATTCTTATAAGTAAATAATACTTCTATCACACACACACACACACATATATATATATATATATATATATATATATATATATATATATATATATATATATATTGTTAAGTTTCCTTTTGAGAAAAAAAATAAGGATAAGTGTCAAAAACATAATTAAAT